TCTCTGTCTCTCTTTCTCTCTGTCAGAGGTGTGGATGGATGTTGAATATTTCAGCTCTCAGCAGCAGTCTGTGTGAGTATCATGGAGGCAGCTAAATGCAGCACAGAGAGAGTATGTAAGAGAATACAAACATCTCCTCAGTGTGCCTTGGAATGACAGAAAAGTGAAAGTGTTATTTGAGATAAAAGGAAAAAAACAACACATTGAATCTTTAATTGTGGTGCATAAAATCAGCAGTTACACTTACAAAGGAGTGTTTACAGCTGCAGAAAAGTCCATAGAAACTCCTCAAAACACCTCTGCAACAAAATCCACTTCTCTGCTGTGCATACATAAGCTCAGTATGTATGCAAAAAACAAAAACAAATACACTTTCTCCCCCTTTTAAATCACAATCCCACCAAGCTCTTGCGGTGACTTCTTGCTCTTGCACTTCACTGGTTGGACCCGCCCCATCCTGACTCAATAATTGCTTTATTAGTGTTGTAGAGAATTCTGAGATGCATGAACGATGTTACACTGCATTCAGGAGTATTTAAAAAGACAACGTGAGACAACAATTGGTTGTTGCTGCAGTGCTGAAGTTGGCACCAAGGTCCTCAGTGTAAGCTGATTGTACACACAGGTGTCAGCAGGGGGCAACATTTTCACTGACTAGAGCGAGGGAGGGATTTAAAGAGGTTCAAGGAAGTTTTGAAGGCAGATTAATGGTTTAATGTTGTTTTTCAGTTAAACTCAACACTTTCTCAGATGAATTCAGTGAAACAGTCGTGTGTTTGTTTTTTTAAAGTATTTTTTTTTTTGGCCTTGATGCCTTTAGTTTGAAATAAGAGATAGTGGAGAGAGACAGAAACAGGGGGCAGAGAGAGAGGGGACGACATGGCAGCAAAGGGCCCCGCAGGTCCAGTACTGCGAACCAGGCCGCTGCGTAATATGGGTCGGCCAGCTCTACCGACTGAGCTGACCAGGCACCCACAGTTGTGTGTTTTAAATGTCCAGTGTGTAACATTAAGGAGGATCTATTGTCAGAATATAATATTCATAGTGTGAAAAGAATGAAGGCTGAATATGGGAAGAAGTACATTAAAAATTGAGTAACTGCCAAAGTAGAAACAGACATTTCATAGACACTTTGTTAGTGTACTGCTGAAATCCGATATCTGAGTATCACATTTACATGTTTGCAATGTCGATGAGCCAGTTTGTGAAGTGAATGTTTGAGGGAGACGCAAGTGTGCCCTCTAGATCTCAACTATTTAAGAAGAGTTGAGAAAATCATCTCATAGGAGCTGACCTGCTAGGAGCTGTCCTTGTAGAGTCCTGTACTGAAAAAACACTGTACAGCCAGACTTTCCTTTACACAGCTCGCAGCATACTAAATGGTGTGGTGCATGCATATCAGAAAATGAGATGAAATTTAAAGAAAGGCTGTGAACATTTAAACATTCCCGTTTTATCATGCAGGTTTAGTTGTTTTTGTTGTTGTGATCAAGGGCAGCGTATTGTCTTGCATCTTGCACCGAGTTGTCAGAGTGAATAAACTCAATGAGGTCGGGGCCTTTACTGTTAAATGCTTTGGAGCCAGACTTTCCACTGCACAGCTGCAGTCTCGGGGTGCCCACTCAAGGGTGAGAAAACATCAGGCAGTCTGAGAGTTTAAAAGAAAAAAAAAACAAGGCATGTTATGAATATTCAAAGGGATAGAAGAAAACATATTGGCAGTGTTAGCTTAATGTGGTTGGAGTAGAAAGTACAGAAAACAGAAAAGAGCTTTTTTTTTTTTGTTTGCTTCACAAAGACTCTCACAGCTCTTGACCACCAGTTCTACTCTCCAAGCTGTGGCTTCATTTTGGTGGGAGAACATTCATATCAAGGTTATTATATTTAATCTTTAGGAAATTGGTAACTTAGCAATTAATTCTTGATGATTTTGTTTATGAGGGGTTTGAAATTTTATAGAGGAAATGTCTAAAAAAAAGGTTATAGTGCAGATGATTACTGAGACTAGGATGTCTATGTGACAGTAAAATCAATGTGTTTGTCTTGTAATAACTATTGTGACAAATATTCCCTATAATATAATGATAAAAAACTAAAACTAACACTCAAACTATCAAATACTAAACTTAAACTAAACATTTTTGGACAATAAAAACTAAAATGAAATAAGCAAACAAGCTCTGAAAACAAACTGAAAAAGAAATAAAACTAAAATAAAATTAAAAACACAAATATATAATAACTCTGATTCATACAACACAGAATAATGGTAGATATAAAATAGGCGTGGTCATGGCTGCTAGGTTTAGAGGGACTCACCGCACCCTTACAACAGAGTCACTGGCATGGATACCAACAAACATACAGGCCAGTAACCCATACAGTAGTTAAGGAACAAACCAAACATGTTTTACAACCTTTAAATGAACCAACCCTTCTGTTCCATTTAGAGTAATAAGCGGGGAGTTTGAGGTTTTTGGTGTTCACGAATCCTCTTTGCAACCTCTTTGTGTTATTCCTATTAATCAAATTTAACTATACTTCATTTTAGCTTCTTGCAAGCTTTATTGGTTCTTGATAAACAGCTCTGACACCAGATGGAGAGGGAATTGATCTGTGGAGACTGTAACATGGTGTTTCGCTCCACTGGGCTGCTTGAGAAGCACAAAGCACTGTTCTGCATTGGGAGTGAGGCAGGGCACCTTCGCATGCAAAGACACAGCTCTGAGCTTCTCGTGAGAGACAGACCTGCATGTGTGGACCCTAAACAGACGAAAACCCCTGACCTTGTTCAGGTAAGTTATAGTGATCTAGTAAAGGACAGCAAGGTCTGAGTGTACGGATTAAGTGAGCAACCCTTTCTTTGTAGGAAACCAAAGGAGCAATGATTAAAGTGGAGTTATTTTTACTTGACACGTGATGATTTGTCATGATTCTTGTAGGAACACAAATAAAACATTATATATTTGTTAAAGGCTTTTATCATATGAACCATGAGCTTGAAATGTGAAAATTGAGGGGGTAATTGCAAAATAAATACATAAACAAATGCAAAAACTATGTGTTTGCAAGACAAAACTACTAACTTATAAACTGATATTACAGTGTAAAGTTTAATTTTATTATAGTATGTCATAGGCCAATATAGGAATGGGAGAGGTGAATTAGACCTTCTCTTTATCACTTCACTAGAGTGGAGACTAGAGCTGATTTATGGGGTATGTCCATCATTGCAGCGACAGAAACAGATGAAATGGAAAATGCTGCACGTGTCTTTGTGTGTCTTTGTGTATGCAGCTGAGGGGTCAACGGAGGAACGTTACCAGGTGGACGAGCGTTGATGCCAAATCAAAGCCAGCAAGAGCGGAGCACAAACCAGCAACCAGTGAGACAGACAGCGCTGCTCTGCAAAATCTCACAGATGAGGTAAAACTGAACCAACCAGACTTCATCTGTGCTGCACTGCAGCATCTAAAACATATAAAACACAATGACAGAACAAGAAGAATGTATTTATTTATTCCCAGTGATTCACATTTACCTTAGATTAAAAAGATAATTCACAAGAACACAACAGGGATGAAGGTGTCAGAGCAACATTGTGTGTATGCAGGTTCATTTTAATTGTTATTTTACGGAGCACTGCAGGAATTTCATGGTCTTTGATTAAAAATTCATGTTTGAATATCATTATGTCAGTCAAGACACACAGGAGGGTACTATGTTATCCGGACACACAAATAGACACATGCAAGCATTTTAAACAAATTCCTATCGAATATACATTTTAATTGCAAATATCAATATGGAATAAAGAAACATTTCTCTCCTCTGACTTTTAGTTTCACAAGTTGAGGGTGTCCATTGAAGAAAATCTTCCAAACTGGTCAAAGAGGACCACAGATACTGAGGTGGGCTCCATGTTTCTTCTGTCAGCCTTTCGATGGTACTTGGTGAGCACTTTAAAGTATGTCAAGGTGCACATTTCTTCTATGTAATAAAATCTCTTAAATAATGCATTAAGTCATCCGCCAGCAGTGTCAGAGTGAGTCACAGGTCAAAGGTGAAGACGGATACAAGACAAGAGTACTTTTTTATGACGCTGGGTCTCAGGGTGACAAAAGAAATGAATCATTTGGCTCCGGGGTGGAACATGTTTATTATCCAAAGCTGGGCATGAATCTATTCATTTATAAACATGGTCTTTAGGCGAGTGGGCGTCAGCTGGGTCACAGCGAGAGACTGAAGGAGATGAGGGAAATGGCGACGCTCCATGAGCGCCAACTGGCCCTGATACATGCTCACAACCAGCAGCTGGAGCAGCAGAGAGACGGTGAGGAACAAATGCAATAAACCGCCTGAGTAATCCAAATATCCTCTCCAGCCTTTGTGTTTGAGTCTGCACTGAGATTCCTCTCAAATTGACATTCAATGTTAATGTCAAAGACTCTAAAACAGTGTGAATGTGTGTGTGTGTGTGTTTGTCAGAGCTGGCCCATCAGGTAAGTGTCCTGTCTGAACAGAGCAACACAAGTCACCTGGAGGGTCTGCTGATGGAGCTCAGAGAGCAGGAGGAGAGAAACGAGGAGACCCTGCAGCAACTGGCGGAACATCTCCATCTATTACAGTAAATATGTGTATTACAAGTATGTATACTAATGTTAGAGTTTCATATGTCAGCCTTTTCGATGTTCTTTTCAAGCGTTTACATCATTTACTCAAGTAAAAGGAGCAATACCACAATGTAGAAAACAGAATTAAAAACTCTTTTTAGGGTGTTGTTGTTGTTATTATGTTATTATATTATTGTCATTATTATTATCACTGATGCAGTGGCGTGCAAGCAGAACTTTGGCGTTGCAGCTCAAGGTTAAACTACTACCACTTTATGAACTCTAACATTTAACAATGCATCATAATTTACCTATTTAAGCTGTTCAGTATGAAAATGTTCATGTAACTAACTATAGCTGTAGATAAATACAGTGAATACTTCCATCTGAAATGTTTTGGAGTAGAAATATAAAATGTTGAAACATGAGCTAAAACATCATGTGATTTTAATGTTTTGAGAGGATTTCCTATACTTTAAATTGCACATAAATACAGTACTGGGGTAAATGTACTAACACAGAGAGTGAGTGTTGTTTTCGGGGCGTTGCTCAAAGACACATTAACAGCATAAACGACTGCTGGGAGTTCAGCACTGACTGTTAAATTGGGATCAAACCTGCAACATTTTAGTCTGTAACCACTCACTGTGCTGCCAAAGCCGGCTCGGATACAACAAAGAGTTTATTTAATGTGTGTTTGTGAGGGTAAATTATGTCGGCATAGATACATGTTAAAAGAAATGACTGCTTCTGTGGCGCTCTGCCTCCAAGATGAATAGTGAAATATATTTTTTTCTAGCTGCCGGATGACAAAGAGCATCAATTATGTATTTCATTATGTCTGGGTAGTTCCTCATTGCAACATTTGTGGTAGAATAAATTGAATTTCCTATTGTAGGGTGGATCATGACTGGAAAACGTACCATAGATGCAATAATACGATCTAATTTAGATGATATACTGTTTTTCTTTTTAGTGTGCGAGAGGTCTCTGTACCTGCTAAACAGCCAGATCCACACAAGAATAAAAAGATGCATCGTGACAGCTACGAGCTCATTTCTTGTGCAGATGGTCCTCTCTCTACCCAGATAAAGTATGTACCTACATTCTTTAAGAGTCATTTATTTAAAAAAAACACTCTATTGGAAGGAAAAACAAGATAGAGGGCTGAATATGAATTAGTTGTACTGAGCTACTTGGTTATATGCAGGTAAATCACGTCTCTTTGTTGCAGAGCTCTGCGGCAGGCATACATGCAGTCAGGTGGGTCAGATCCAGCGATTGTGGCACGAATGATCGACCTGCAGGCAGAAGCCCAAAGTCTGGAGAAGAACCAACCAGCGGCAGCCGGCAAGAGTAAGACTCAGAGTGATGATGTAGTGCTTGTCACTTTATAACCCTCTGTCAACACAGCTGTGCTCAGTGGAGCCTTTATTAAGTTTATTCAGCTTTTTACACTCTAAAAAAAAACTGATTTCCTGTCACTAACTCCATGGTTATTAGATTCTGCTCCAACATTTCTTTTCACATGCTTAATTATAGCATCAAAAACATACTGGATGCAAAACAAACACCCCGGGGAGGAGTGTTGCATCTAGGGGCAACAAACTGTACACAGTCCAGACTTATGGCATAAAAGCAAGTGTAACTTGGCCCTGAGCCACATCATTGTTGTCCTCGTTGTCCAGAGGTGAAGCCTCCTCAGCGGGGTCCGAGCTGGGAGCTGCTGGCTGTGGAGCATGAGAACCAGAGACTGGAGGAGGAGATCCTCAGGATCCAGCTGGCCAGGGAGGGACACCATAACTATGAAGGTTGGAGAGTTCTCAAAAATAAATGACAAAGCTCTTTTTCTTTAAAAGCTTCTTACCCAGCCAAGGTGAAACATGGCCCAAAACAACAAACAAAACGATCTTCAGTGTTAACCTCTACACAGGACTTTGAATTTATTTACAACAGAGATCTGTCTAATTCAATACATTATCACTAAGCATTTTAAAGTAGGTGCCATCAGCCTCCTGTTCAATCAGCTTCCACTTGTATTTCAACACACTGAGAAAACATAGAACAGATTGAACAGCACCACCCACAGGCAGGGTGGAGAAACAGCACACACGTCACAGTCATGAAAATGCACATTATGGCTCAGGGTCACAACATACTGTTGTTAGCTGGAATAAGCTAAAAGAAACTACAGTCCAAATTCCATGCAGTTACATCGTTTTGTCGACATAAAGGTCTACAGGTACATTTAAGAAATAAGTATCCTTACTTCAGTTCGCTTCCACAAGACTTCTGCCTCTTTATTTATCATCCATGCACCTTGCATTGTGATACATGCAACTCTGGGAATTACATTTATTTAGGAATATTGTGAATATTATTTATTATGTAATATGTTGCTTGTGTATTATACTGCTGACACTGAGCAGTTTTATCCATGTTGTACTGAAAACAGAAATTCCAGCAACTCTGATCATATACAGTAGCCATTGAAGTGAAGTGGTTATTATTTTGTATTAGATTAGGTAAAAAGAAGATTGTCATCAATACCAGGAATGTATTGGTCACACAGGTCTGGGGTAACTGTCTTCACAGAGGATATCTTGCGTTTGTGTGTCCTCTCTCAGCAGTGAGGACCGAGCTTGAGCTGATTCAGAGGGAGAACCTCCTGCAGATTGCCAGTTTGCAGGCAGAGTTGGAGAGAAACAAAGAAGCTCCCAGGCCCAGGAGACAGCCTCCTCCTCCTCCACCTCCTCCTCCTCATCATCTACTCCCACTCCAACCCAAGACTCACATTCATGCACCTCTTTCACTGGTACATTTACAGTTGCAGTACAGATACTTTTACATGAGAGAACATGGCTTCCAGTAATATAATAGTTGCCTTTAAATTATGTCCTAAATTATTGACAGTGTTTGATTCAGATGCTTTATGTGCCCCTTAGCTCCAGGCCAGATCCTTCTCCTCTCCACTGGGAAGATGCATGTTGGACTCCCTGGACTCTCTGGGTCCGGCCCCCTACGATCCTGCGTCAGTTTAATAAGAATATACAGAATATAAATCGTTTCAAATAGCCAGTAACCACATAAACTGTCTAAAAATCAGATAAAATGATTCAGATTCACTGATCTGTCAGTGTCCTCTGTTGTTTCAGAGCTGGTTTTGTGGTTTTCTATGATCTGGTTCTGGGGGTTGATGTCTCTCAGAGGGCGCTGCGCCTGGTTGCAGCTCTCTACTCAGAAGGTCAGGAGGTGGGATCACCGACTCCACTGCCCCCTGTGGAGTGCCTGCCAGGAGTGTCCGTGCCTTACACCCACAGCCTCACCCCTAGAAACTATGCCCTCCTGTCAGTCAAACAGCCTGTACCCAGGTAGGAGAGGAAGGAGTGTATCTATTACTATATACAGCAGTGAAGTGACTTAAAAAAAAATCCCACGTAGGTAACAAGAAATGAGGAAAGACGACCCAGAACTATGTGGCCTGAGCTCTGCTCATAGTATGAAATCAGTATTCAGAAAACTCAGTGTGCTATTATTTCAAGGGGAAGGTTTATTTTCCTGAGAAGAAGGAATTGTTGATCAGGCAAAAAAAATAAAAAATAAAAAAATCTACATTATGTTAATTTTCCCCCCTGTAGCATCCAGCCGTCACCCTCCCTCTCTTTAGTGGTGGAGGTGCAGACAGCAAGAGACCTGGATGTTCACAGCCAGGAGGTCTTCAAACTGACGTCCTGTGGATGGACACGAATCCAACTCTTTGACCAATACAACCAGGTATAAAAGGTTTACAGAATTAAATGCTAATATACTGCTGAAAACAGATTGGAAATTAATTATACACTAATATGTGATGCCATTGTAATGTTACAGTGTTTTTAAGTGTTCACTGTTCAGTTGCACAATAAAGAGACTTAGGCCTCAGCTCAGTTAATATGTTGTTTATTAATCAAAAACCAGTGGTGTATAAAGGCTGTACGCTAAATAATAACTTTTATTATTTTCAATTTCATTTTCTGCAGAGGTATTGAACAAACTGATTACATCATCAGACAGAGTTTAACTTTAATCTATCAGAGAAGTCTAAAATCTCTATATGATAACAGTTTAACCATAGCGTGGTAGCTCAGCACTGTTGCCTCGCAGCAAGAGGGTCCTGGGTTCGATTCCAGGCTAGAGAAAGGCCTTGTGTAAATGTTTGATATGAGTCTATGTTTTTATTTCTGTTCATTTATTATTCCTTTTGTTTTTACCTCATGTGTTGCATATCTCCTCCATCACTGGCTTAGAATTGGAGTTGAGCTGCTCCCAATACTTAGGATGGGTTAAATGCAGAGACTTAATTTCACTATGTTGTACTGTGTATGATTATGTAAGCAACAATGAACCTGATTTAATATTTTCTCTCCACCACCAGCTCCATAGTGGCCACTGGAGGGTGCCAGTGCGCAGTCTGCCTATTAGACCCTCATTAAGCCTTACCCAGCTCAACTCAGTACCCCAGGTATAAAGACGCCAAGAGTTTGTAAGATTTAAGAAGGGGTTTTGGACAAAGGGTTAAGTGAGGTTGTAAATTACACACCTGACTGTACTGTATGTGTCACTGTAGGTGGGCAGCATGGAGCTGTGTGTGCGTTTGGTCAACGGACGAGATGGAGAAGTACAGACACTGGCAAAGCCTGACCCGACCAGCACCAGTCACTATAAATATCCCACTGTGGTAGGATGAAAAGTAAAAAATTAAGTAATGAATTCTTTGAGTGTAATTGTTTAAATGGAGTTAAATATAAGGCTCTAAACTTAACACCCTCTGATCTAACCTCAATCTATTTGTGTGACTTTGTCAATAGGCTTATATAATCCATGGTGAATGTTGTACAGAGTTGCCTATATGAGTAGACCATAAGTTCCTGTCCACATAAGGACGAATTAACATTGAAAATTATCTCCTGTGGACATTTTGTTCTTGTATTGGAGGTGACTGTCATTTATAAACAAGCTTGAATGTGGTGCTGTTGGTTTGTGCTTTGTCTCAATTAAGGCGTCTTCACATCCTGTGACTGTCCACGGAAATGCAGCTCTGCCAGTTTCAGTTGATCCACATCCCACTCAGCTGTCCTCCCTTTTGCCCTTCACTGATCACCAAGACCCTCCACCCACAGAGGCAGCCAGGCAGAGCTGAATATCTACAACCAGGATGTAACATCTTAAACGTTGGGCTCTTTCAAACAGATTGTGTGGAAGTGTAAATGAGGACTCTTCTCTCCCCTGAGCTTCAAGACAATAAAAGAAAACGCATTATTCCTTTTGTTACAGTTGAAATCTAGATTATTGTGCAAGACTACCTTGTTAGAAAACAGCACAGATGATTTAAACAATGTCCACTTTTATAGTCCATTGAAAAGAAAAAAAAGCCATAAGTTTGTTAAAATGGGTCATTCAATCAGTGCTAGAATTAAACAGTGAAATTCAGATTCTCAATCATTTGGTCTATACAAGATTAGGAATAGTGTTCACAGGTCCCAGATTTCATGGTGACAATTTTCTGTCATTCACTAATCATTGCAGGTCTATACATTGGTTTGCAACACTGGTTGGTGTAAATAAGAGTTTTCTTTTCCTTCTAAAAACCAGGAACAACTGCAGTGAGTATCTAGTGTTTCTGTCCTCGTAACAGTTCTGAAGTTTTAAGTTCCCAGAAAGTCTGAAGAATTTGCCGATTCAAACTTACATCTGCAAATGTTTTATTCTTTTACTACAAGTATACAAAACTTGACAGACAAATCTATGAAAATGGGTCTTATTTACAGAAACAAAAGTGTTGAAAGGTGGACAGGGACTGGACAGGCATGCTGTGCTGGTTTTGTAGATCAGGAAAGAGACGAGGACAGTCACGCTGAAGACTCGACAGAGGATGACTGGCCGGCGGGCTACAGGGAGCAAAGAAAAACAAAAACACTTTAACAGAAGGAATCAGATATTCTGCCTGCATATCATATGGATAGTCTCAGAAAAAGCTTTCAGACTGCTGGTTGTTGTGTATGGCTCTTGTTAAAGAGCGCCCACTGCTGCAGTTCTATCTACCAATAGAAAGGTAGAAAGACAACATTTATAGAATAGAACAGTTCTACTTCAAACTACAGTAACAGCGGATGCTGCATGTCTAGAAGCTCTGAATGTACAGTATTGTTTACTTGTACAAGATAGAAAGCCACTTCACAAGACAAATAGGAGAAGTGATTCAACAAAGACAGCTGTAAAGTTCGGTCATCTTTATGCCTTAGTTTCAAGACACATCATTATCATGTTTGACTAAAGCATCAAATTACACAAGACTCCTCCAGACTTCCTTGCAGGCATTCATGTAGTTCTGCTTAGGCTTGAGGGCAATTTCCTCCATACAAGCACCTAAGCTTTCGTAGAGGTTTAATCGACCTCAAACAAAATTAAGATATGACTGAAAGACCACCAGAAACCATTTGCCAGTAGGATCATTGTGTTCAGCCATCCATCCATGTTAAGCAGGGTAATCGCAGCACAATCTTTTCAGAGTGTCGTCCTGCAAACGTGTCGGTACATAAGACAGAAGCCCATCACTCGCCTCCTGTGATTTTCCCTCCTGGACTCCATTGCCGTTGCTGGCACTAGAGTCACCGCTGCCATTAACTGCGGCTTCCTGTTTCGCTTGTTTAGCATCAGTGTCCTTTACTGGGCTCTCCTCTTCTGGTTTCCTCTGTGCAGAAACATAAAACCAGGTCAAAGGGTGGGGGGGAGAAGACAACGCTTCTGT